TCTCGTACTCCAATAATACGACTCTCTGCTTGCTCCGCTTCTAACGCTCGCTCTGCAATAGTTGCAATGGTTACTCCCTGGGTGCCTACTATCTTCACGTCCTGATATAAGTCTGGTCGGAGCCCTTCAATAAACCGTTCCACCTTATGCTCATTAGTGCTAACTATATGAGAAGCAAAATGAGAGAGTTCCTCAAATTTTCTAATATACTCTTCAACAGACATATTCCCTTGTCGCAGCTGAATAAACTCATTTAATTTTTGTTGTCTAGCAGCTGCGGTAAAATATTTATTTAGAAAGAGTTCCTTAAATCGAGTCTATGTCATAGAGTCTACGGGCTCAATGCTTTGCACCGTATCCCACCAAAATCTAGCACTACCTCGCAACATAAAAGCATCACAATTTACCTTTTCAACATCTAGGACTCTACTATATTTAGACATGTTCTCCGTCGTACATATCCACTCTTCTGCTTTCATTAGTTCAACAGTTCCATAAAAAATAGGAGGGTTTAATTTCCTATATCTTTCTCCAGCATTCTCATCAATTTTTGGAGCTGGTGCAGCTTGCATATGCTGAATAAGTTGTTGTGACTGGGTCTCCGCTAATGCTGCCAAACGTTCGACTGTGGCATCTCGATTATTTCCATTAGTCGTAGATTCACTTGCATCAGCCATCTAATATAAAATGGACCTTAAAATAGTGACTAATGTATGTATCCTTAAATATTGATAGAACAAAAAAATCTAAATCCATTTATAAAAAAAATTTGCTTTAATAATTCTTAAGACAAACTATGTATTCCCTAGCTTAAATAGGATACTTCCCTTAGTACAATCAAACTTATACTTTTCACTAGCAATTCAAAACACAATTTTATTAAATAATTTCAGTAAAAGAAATTCCTTAATAATAAATATACATACCAGGATGCCGATGTTCCCCAGCTATACATGTAAAGTCTTCAGGATGTTATCAAAACCTGGGCTCTGATACCACTCCAATTGCACTACTCTTAATTTCCCTAATTTATTTATTTATTTTTATCCTTAGATTAAAATCATATCAAACATTTGCAATAAAATAAAAAACATATCAAGGAAATCAAATTTCAAAATATAAAGAGTTAAAAGAACCGCCAAGTTTATATTATACCAAAAGAG